TTGGGTTTTCGTCGCTTGGCAACGAAGTTGAAAAACAAGCCGCCCCCTCGGTGCTTGCCATCGGGGTTGGGTTTTCATCGCTTGGCAACGACGTTGTACAACACGACAATTCACTTCGTGAACTCGGCAACCAGGTCAACGTTATTTTTTTCACCTCTTTTGTTTTTGGCGGTAACCATAATGGTGGTCGAGTAGATCATGTTGTGCGGGGTGGAGAACCCTCACTCCGCGCAACGTGAATGATCGCACCACATTGTGTTAAAATGGTCAAGCACCCTCGAGGCAGTTACACAGTGCTCACAACTGTCTCAGGAAGTGAATGCACCAGAAAATAAGTTAAGTCACACGCAGCTGTCGTCCATACGCAAAGAAGTAAGATGCCGAACACCCTTAGCAGGATGCAGCGCGGCCTTCATGCGACTCGTCGAGTATCTCACGGCGCTTCGCGCTTGGTGATGTGAGTGCCTGGTCCGGTGAGAACCCGGCGTGCTCCGTCCCGGCTTTGTAGGGATGCGAGGTCAATGGTCTAACGACTACGGCATGCACGACTATNAACGACTACGGCATGAACGACTATGAGTACACCCCCCCCTCCCCCCTCCCCCCTCCGCGCGTGCATTATTTCATGAGGTGCCCCGCCCCCTCCCGCCCCGAATTTGAAACTAACTGCTGTTGGGGTCACCCCCCACCTTTCTGAGTTATCATCGTGCAGCCGTCGTGTTTTTGGGCTCCGTTCTTTCTGTATGCGCATTGGCACACCATAAGAAAAGCGGTTTCTGGATTAATGCAACGTCGGAACTGAGCACCTGTCCTTATGCCCAAGTTCTTAGATTGTGGACTGATCAGGCCCAAGTTTAGGGCGCTGGGAGATCGCAGTAGTACCCCCTCTTCAAAAATCCAGGAAACGCCTGCTGCATATCTTGGTTTTCTAAAGTCTTGTTCCAGAATCTACAATCAATCGCAAATTAACCGAACACTGACCCCCCCTCGTCTGCCATGATACTATTTGCGATTGTAGCCCTTGCGATAATTTAGCCGAACGCTGACCCTCCCCTCGTCTACAAAAATAATGATTAAAGATTGTAGCCCTTGCGATACACTGTACATTACCAGTCCGCGATTTTCCAAATGATCCTTGTGTCATCGAGATCTGTGAGCTGCAAGCAGGACAAATGAAGCTGCTGTGCTATCCGTCTTCGAAACGCTTCAAGCACCATTGCTACGGCTAGAGCGATATACATGACCCTAGTCTTTGGTGTATCGCAAGGGCTATACATTCAGATACTAACACTGAATGTACACGATAGGGGGACGGTTAATTATTGTAGATTCGTGCCGGAGTTAGACTTTGGAAAACCAAGGTATGCAGGTGTTTCCTGGATTTTGAAGAAAGAGAAGGTACTGCGCGGTCCTCCGCGGTACGTCCTTTCTTTTTAAAAGGCACCTTCTGTCCAAAAAATCAGACACGTACGTCATCAAAAACTGCACCCGACCGAATCTTGAGCATCGCATGTCCTTTTCAGCTGCTCCTTTCTCCCTATCCATATATATATGTATGGAGCCCCCGATCAAACCTCCGTTCAGCCGGTGGCAAACACAGCCGTTCAGAAGCTGCTGCTGGCTGTGGTTTGGACGTTATTTTATCCAAGAATACAAACGGCTGCTGTAGACTCCATTCTAGACTAGATCACATAAAACAAGACAACATAAATTTGGCCATGAAAAATAACAAAAGAGGGCAAATCCGCTCCCACCCACCCCGCACCCGAGAGCGCCAACATCGATTGTCCAACCCAAAATGATCCTCATAGTCATACGTTCCCGGTGGGCCACGCACACACTGCACTCCCATCAAGACAACTCACAGATAGCTCACTCGTGAGGACGAGGTTGTTGATCGTGCAGAAATGTAGGACATTCTTTCGTACTGACTCGATTTCGTTGCATATCCTGCGGCAAAGGGTCAGCTGCTTGAGCCGTTTCAGCCCCTTTCCGTTGCACAGACCGGCGACGCTCTCAGCGCTCTTGATGTGGTTCTCAAGCGAAAGGAGCTCTTGACGCACACCTTGCTCCCTTTCAGCGCACCGTTTCACGTAGCGTTGCAAGACCAGATCAATAAGCTCCCCGAGCACGGACAATTCGAGCTTGTTAGAGGTCGCCGTTTGCACCAGGTCCTCGAAGGCCAGATACGCCTTGCAGGCGATGCCCACTGCCGGTGTCTCCTGCAGCAGCGTAGCCGCTCCAGCCGTGAACTCCCGGATATACGTGAGGACCCTGACCCCAAAGTCCTGAGATGCCGCCATCGGGTTGGCGCGTGGAAAAAGTGAGTAAACTGATTTTGTACGCGCTGGTTGATGCGGTTGGAAGTCGAAAAAGGTGTGTATCCACACGTCGTCGAAAACTCTGACGGCAACGCAAGCAACGTGTGTCACCGTGAAGAGGTTGCACTCATCCGTGTGCTCACACAGATCCAGGGGGGGCGGACAGGGTTGTGCTGTCAGCTGTAAAGAATGCAAGTGCAACTGGTCTGCCTGCTGTGATGGATTGTGTGTCAGAAGTCGTGGAGAAGAAGTGCAGCATCTACGGAGATCGCAGCAGGATATGCAGCGGTTTCCATGCTTCGATGAAACCGCCGGTATCCTACCGCGATCTCCGTAGATGCGTTCGCGGTTTCATGGAGGTTTCAGTACCGTCGCTCTTGGACTGCTCCGCGGCCCCGTCTCCCCCTTGGAGTTTTTGAATCTTCACTTGTTGCAGGGAATCTTCCTCAGTGCCTTCCCCATGAGCTGCAACCACTCGCGAGACACGACCTCCTCCTACCATGGAATGTACGAAGGTCTAAATGATCAACGTCTGACACTGTATTACATGTCGGCTGGTCCCACCCGCCGCGTTGCAATCAACCCCCGCAAAACATCAGACCCACCCTGCTGTAACCTCCGTAGTAGGGGCTGTATATCGTGAAGTGAGCGCCGCTCATGGGGGCAAGGAAGGCCCCCTGGGAAGGTTGGGGGTGTTGAAGGCACAACGCCACTGAACTGTTGTTCTGATACAATACAACAATACAACAACCTGTAGTCTGGTAGTTGAGTGCGGTCGGTCATCGTCTTTTCAACAGGGGCACGGGTCCCATCTTCATGCTTCTACCCGCACACCACACTCTTTTCTTTGGGCGGAGGTGAAGATCGTCTGCAGACTGACTACCTGAACTTCTGCAGATAAATTGTTGAAATAAGCCTCCCTGCCGGCCTATCCGTCAAGGACCACTGCATTGTTCATTCATTCATATTGCACCGCGGGTTCACCACACTAGTCTCCTGCTGGTCTCATACTTGCTTTCCACTTCAATGTTCAAGTCGACGTGGGGACTTCTTCCCAACACAAAAATACACCCACTTTTTCCCCGTAGATCTACTCCAAAGCTCCCACACGAATGATACCTCTTCGGGAGGGCCTTACTTTCCGTTCTACTTCCTACTCAAACACATTTTATTATTGAAGAGCGTCAGACTTGCTCTCTCTCTAGACTATACGAGACATGAATGCATGTTGCTCTCCCCTTCCCTTAATATCTGGCATTTGACAACCCCCTACATATCCTGAACTACAGCACTCCCGAACACACAACCTTGCAAATTCTCCTGCAACAACCCAAGTTTTCATGTTGTAGTAGCGTCCCGGTATACATTATTTCACTGGCCCATCTCCATAAAAAGGATACAGCAGTCAAGCTCATCCACGGAATATATCCTCCTGCTGCCCACCCCAACGCGGAAGAAGGTAGTAAACGGTGAAAAAACTATTTGTGGCACGCAGTTCGCTGATTGGTAAAATAAAACTGCGGCAGAATTTCGAAAATTCCAAAACAAAGCAGGCACGCCCCAAGATCCTTGTTTGGCGTATGGCGGTATTTTTCTCGTACGACATGTTTTCGTCCGGCAGGCTTCGACAACACAACAACATCGCGCGAGATCCTCTCTGCACTTGTTCCCAAATGGCGCAGGCAAGCGGCAGTCAAAACTCAACACCGAACACAGAGATACTAGTGCAGGTCTTACGACCGGCCAGTTCGCCTACTTCGCAACAACAGCAGAGTCGCGCCCAGCAGGCCACCCGCAACAAGCAGGGGCACCGTCAACCTCTCGGCAAGGCTCGGCGGGGGCGCGTAAGCCTTCAAGGCTTTCCTCGTCTTGGCCGCGCTGGGGTGGTGGGTGCCCAGCTGCTCCTCCTTGATCGAGAGCGCTCGTCGGAGCAGCTCCTCCCCTTCCTTCGTCGGACCGGCCTCCTCGTGGACGCACACCCCGAGGCGGTGCAGGGTGCGCCCCACGTCCGGGTGGTTGGGCGCGAGCTTCTCCTCCCTGATGGCGAGCGCGCGGCGGAGCAGCTTCTCCGCGTCTCCCGTCCGCCGGTCGTCGGAAGCGCAAGCCCCCAGGTAGTGCAGCGTGCTCGCAACGTCGGCGTGGTTCGGGTCCAGGTCTTCCCGGATGCCAAGAGACTGCCTGAGCAGCCCCTCGGCCTCCTTCGTCCGCCCCGTCTTGAGGGCGCACAGCCCGAGCGAGTGCAGGGCGTGGGCGACGTTCAGGCTGTCGCCTGAGGGGTGACCCTCCCAGATGGCCAGCGCCGGTCGCAGAGTCTCCTCGGCCATCTCCATCTTCCCGGCCCTGTAGAGGCACACGCCGAGGTGGTAACGGGTGCTCGCAACGTCCAGATGGTGGAGGCCTAGCTTTTCTTCCTCTATGGCCAGGGCTTGCCGGAGGTACTTCTCTGCCTCCTTCGTGCGGCCGGCAGTGTAGAAGCAGCGCCCGAGCTCGTACATGGTGTGGGCCACCTCGAGGTGGTCGGGGCCCAGCCTCTCCCTGAAAATCGTCAGCGCTCTCTGGTAGTTGTCTTCGGCTTCCTCCTTGCGGCCCGCCTTGTAGACGCACATGCCGAGGATGTGAAGGGTTTTCGCGACCGCCAGGCTGCTGGGCCCCTCCGCCGCGGTCTCCTCGATCAGCCTCAGCTGGTACTGCTTGGTGTAGGCCTCCAGCCTGTCCTCCCGCCGCCAGTGGAACCGGGCGGCTCGTTTCAGGGCCTTGGCGAGCTTGGGGCTCGACGGGTCTACCCTGTCCAACGCCGCGTCGTACGGGCTGGCCACGGGCCCCGTCCCTTCCAACTGCGCGATCACGTCCCAGATCTTCACCAGCCATGCGCTCGAGTACGTGCTGAGGGCCCTCAGGTCGGAGGCGTACCCTCGCCACCGCGCCAGCGCCATCTCGCGTTCCTCATTGTTGGCCACTTCGCACTCGCGGACGAAGTCCGCGTGGACCTCGTGGACGCGGTACTTGCCGCTGACCTCCAGCGTGAGGATCGACAAGCGCTCGAGCGTCTCCAGCGCCTTCCCCGCGGCCTCCAGCTCGTCCGCCGAGCACTCGTCGCCGTAGAGCAACACCGCGGCCACCTTGGATCGAAAGGCTAGTCCCTTGGGCAGTATCGCCAGGGACAGGTACAGCTCTTTCGTGTGCAGGGAGTCAGCCTCGAGCTCGTCCGGGCCGATGCGCAGCATGGCGTCGCGCCAGGCCAGTAACCGACCGTTCCCGCCCCGTTTCTGGGCCTCCGCGATGTGTCCCAGGGCCGCCCGCCAGGCCTCCTCGTCGCTCTTGCCGCGGACCACGCCCCACCTACCGGCGAAAGCCAGCTGCATCGCGCCGTACTCGCAGCGCTGCATGAGCTCGTGCGCCGCTGGCGGGAGGGTCGCGTCGTCGCCTAGGCCCGCCGCCCGCCTCAGCACCATACCCCCCTCCTCCTTCGTGACGGCGTCCAGTCTAAGTAGCGGGGCCCCCGTAAGCAGGTCGTCTCGGCGGGAGGTGTAGAGCACCCAGACGCCGGCCCACTTGAGCTCCTCCAGCACCTCGGGCTCGCGGATGTCATCGGCCACGACGAGGAACCGGTGGTTGCTCTCGTTCACGACCTCGTGGATGTAGCCGGCGCCGTCCTCCGGGTCCACGCCGACCCCGGCCAACCGGGGCGGGCGGCAGGCCTTCCGCAGCACCGTCTCGTACACCATCCGGGCGAGGTGGAGCATCAGTTCGGGCAGGCAGTGCTTGGCCCCCTCCCCTACCGGGAGCCACAGGACGCCCTTGTAGAAGTACTCGCGGACGTCCTGTCGCGCGATGACCATCGAGGCCAACGTGGACTTGCCGGAGCCGCCGGGCCCGGACATCCCGACCACCCGCGGCATCTCGAAGAACTCGCTCTTGCCGCTACCGATGCCGAGGGAGTCGCACGCCTCGGCCACCGCTTCCTTGCGCTCGACGTGCCACTCATGAATCCGCGGGGCCCCCGAGGGAACCGCGACCTCGCCCGCCGACTGCGACTCATCCTGCGAGAAGCCCTATTTAAAAAAAGGGAGGGTTGCGGCGTGTAGCGGACGCGACGCGCGGGGTTGAATGTCAAAGAAAAATAAATCAATGACATTTGGAAGGATTGCTGGACGGACACGGGAAACGAATGACATGTCACCCGCTCAAAATACCGCACATGCTTGCTGACCGCCTACTAGTAATGCCGCCGGGGAGGTTGTTAACGGTGAAAGAGATGACGGGCGGGAGGGCGCGGGCGAGCGGATATAAATATATATCGTGCCAATCATTGGCTCCCGGGGGATTTCCAGGAGTGTTCAGCGTCTCGAAGCCGCTGGCAAGGAGATCATTTCACCAAGGTCTTTAGTAGGAATCATCGACCGGTGTTTGAGCGATCGGATGTAGACTACCCCATAGGTCTACCATTGCAGGTATGCGCAGCTCAGACTTGCGTGCGTAAATGAGCAAGTAGTTTAAACGGTGACGCCGTACTCTGCCTTTATTAGTTGTACGTCAGTGCCAATAGTCAAGTATGCTTACCAGTGCCGTACTTGATCTGCGTTTGTGGCAAGTTCAAGAACACAACGTTGAAGCCACGATTGCCAAAAAAAATATCTTAGCCTACCAACACCGGATTCTGATAATGTTTTATTTGGATGACGTTGGTGGGTTTATGTGATTCCATAGTGTCGGGGATGAGCGTGCACCCGCCCACCCGCTTGCTCTGGACTATTCCCATTTTATGCTGACTCTGTTTGCTCTGGTCTCCACCCCCACCGATAACGACCTCCCGGTCGAAACGCGAATCAACAAATACACCCGGATGATTCAAAAGAAACCTCCTCCAACGCCTAACGCCATTCTCGTCGCCGTCATTGTATTCCCTGCCGAGATATCGACCTTTGAAAACCGACCCAGGGGGTGTGATATCTATCATCATGCAACCTACGATGGTGAACACACAGACCAGATAATCACGGACAGCAGTACTTCTCACACATGTTGTGTATACTGTACAGGTATCTACACCTTCTCGAAAAAAATTATTCGTCAGCGTTTTTGTTTCAGGGCTTCTTGCGCTGGGTGGGCTCTACGTTCATAATTTTATCCTGATTGAATTTGTCCGTGCCTCTCGTCAACCACATACAGAACTATTTTTGTCTCCATGTTTTCACCCCATTGCTTGAGGGCCTGCTGAGTGTTTTGGGTATGTATCGGCGTGTTTTCGGTTTCATTTGTGTCTAGCGCTTTTGTCCAGCGCTGCAACGTTGTGCGTCGTTTTTGTGCACTTGTATTTGTCCAGCGCTACAAGGTACTGACTGTTCTTCCCTGTTGATATTGCTCGTCAAACATATTCTGTTGCCGTTCGAGCATCAAGAAAGACACGATAAAACACTTCTTAGAGCCCACCGGGCAGCGCGGCATCAAGAGCGGCAGGAGCACATCCCAAAATCTCGCATGGACCATTTCTCATAACTCAGTCAGTCTCGTGTCTTACGATCCGCTTGCTGGAGGCGGCGTCGTGTGCCTGCTTCCCTCGTCCCCCGCCCACATACTGCCCGGCGAAAGACACCATCGCCGCCCCGATTTCGCTCTCTGCTGCTGCTACTGCTACAGCAAGACTCCCATCCATCTGATGCATACTTGCTTTCAAGCATCCTCGTGAGTTTTTTCAACGGCAAGAAGAGCGGATCGTCAGGACGCCTTGTTGTGAAGCTAGAGAGCGGGCACGAGGTCTGCTGTTGCTGCTGTGCTTTAACGTACGCAGGATGGGAGTTTGCATCTACTCATTCGTTGTGTATTGTTTCTCCCGACAATATCATGAGGAGGAAAAACAGCCAAATGAACTGTAGGAAAAATATCTCGAGTTTGAAATGTATCAGACAAGGAGCGTCTTGACAGACAAGATGTTCTTTTGCTCCGAATGAAAAAAATTGCACACTTATTACTGCAATTTTTGGTAGGCTTAGGAAACAGCGCGAGGGTCTCAAGGGATGGCAGACAGAGAATTTTGACTGGCTCTATTTTCATACCCAAATCCAACACAAAGAAAGTAAACAACCTCCCGCCGGAACCTGGTAATCAGTACTTCTACTAAATATCACTAGAGGACACCATGAAGCGGCGTCGTGCGTGCTCGCACGTTCAGGTTTGCTACTGTACTTAAACATCGAAGGTCTCAGCGTCTGAAAACATTCCGAAATCTGCGCCGGAACCAAGCGGATTCCAACATTTGACACAGCCGTGCTCACCGCCACGGACCGCAAACCCCTGAATCGTGGGTGGTCAGTAATAGCTAGTGGCATCAGCTACTGCTGTGAACCCGCAGTTCAGGAGATTGGGGTCACTGGCGGCGAGCACAAGCAGTACAAGCGACTGGGTGTCGGTCTGATTTGGGGAGATTTGCGGAGATTATAGGCCGCTACTACAATCACCCTCGATATCACCACAGAATCGGATTTGAGCGCGCCAACACTTACACCCTGCTCGCTGCTATCGGGAGTCCTCGAGTGATAATTGTACAATTCACCAGGTTCACAGCAACATCGACCTTTTTGAGCGCCTGCCTTTTTGGCTCTTTTTACTTGAATTTACCCTAGCGTGATTTTTTATCTTGATTTCAATGGACAAGTATAGAGGTGGACGCGTGAAATGTTTCGAGCAGCCCCTACTGCCGCCCTGTGTGAGAATCAACGGTTTCTGTTTTTCGCGATGCCTTCCGACTGGTCTTGCGTGTCTGTTGTGCAATTTCTGGTCCTCTTGCGTTTGTTTTCAAAATTAGTCAACATCAATATAATTTTTGTCTGCCATCCCCCAAGGAGATCGGTTGCGATTTGAATACAAGCACTAATCTACATAAAGACGAACGCGAGTACGAATTGCGAGATAACTCCCAGGCCGTCAGCTGTTAATCGACGAAAAGTATATGATTACAGTACCTACGTGACAGATGATTTCGGGACGGATTTTCAAAGCGCGATTTCCCCATAGCAAAAAGAATGGCGTTGCAAAAAACAGCGGAGTTGTAACGCATCGTTTCAGTTGCAATGCACATCCTCTTCGTCAACGAGTAATCGAGCTTTTTCAAACACGGTCCCTGAGTGTGGTATGTTGTGTCACCTACGGTAGCAAGTCCACACGTGAGTGCTTCAGGTATATGTAGTTCCTCAGTAGAAACGGGTGAACGTTTTTCACGGGAAGAATGTCGGAGGATGTTGCTCTCATAAAATGTAGGCCGGCGTGAAGAAAAGACTCAATGAAAAAGAACCGCACACGTTGCTGTAAACTGCTGTCGAAGGCGTCATCTTCTGTATTCGGCGGGAAAAAGCGCATCTACTGAATCTCTCTGTCTCTCTTGCAAACCACGTACTCTCAAGCACACGATATCACATCTGCCCCAGACACATCGTTATACACCGGAGGCTCTGCTTGTATCAGCGACATAAAAAAAACTCGATCTATCGGAGATACACTTCGAAATAGATGCGTGCAGCAGACTAGTAACAACAGCAGGTTCTTGAAGGAAAACATGTACAACTACTGATCGACCGACATTACCACCGGCAACTGACAAACACGGTGCTAGCCAACAGAGACCAAGACGATTGCCCCAGAATTGCAGGGGTTAGGAGGTGTACTATCGGGCGCATTGTTTGCATCGCCATTTTGTGAAGGGGTCGCGGTTAGCGAATGCGCAGGAACAGCAGCAGCAGAGCAGCAGTCGCCCTACAACGGTGGTAGAAACGAAAATTGCCCGCCATTTTTCAGAAACAAATGTAGTCAGCAGTTACAGTCATGTTTCGAAGGCTAGAACGCGGAAGCTGCCGGAGCTAACTTCTCGGCATTGCTTGACGTAGATTCTTCATCTGGTCCATCGGTACGAGGTACTCACCTGCTGGAAATCCGGGGTTTGAGGGCCGCGATCAAACATGCCTGGATCGGGCTCATCCGTCCCCTGCTTGAGCATCGCCGCGCTCACGCCCCTCGACAAGCCGCGATGAGGCCGTCGTTGTCGCTCCCGGCTCGATTGCCGGCGGCTCTTGCTGCCACCCGTTCTGTCGTCAAAGTCCTCTTCGGTGCCACCTCCGTCCAGGACAAGGCCCGGGTTGTTGACAGGAGAGTTGGGAGGTGCAACGTCGCCAGGCGCCTGCTTCTCCGGCTGTGGCTTCGATGACATCATGTGTTTTTGTTTAATGCTCCTACCGCGGAGGATCCCCATGTGTCACCGCCGAATGAAGGTACGAGCGACCTGATGGGACCCGCTGCCGGCGCTCAGGGAAATGCGTGGCAGTAAAGGAGGAGTGGCTGGAGTGTGTGTGTGGGCGTGTGCGCGCGAGAGGCCGTCCAAGTGAGGTGTGACGTGGGTGGCGGGTCTAATGCGTTGTGCGCTCACGTCCTCGTTTTTCTCCATCACGCCGCCTTCGGAGATTTGAAGGTGAGGTGGATGGGATCTCCGATAAAATGACGGTCCCGTCCCGCCGCCGTGGGTGGGGATGAGTGCACCTCCCTGCCTTGCCATCATCTTGCTGCCTGTTCCAACCTGATCTGTGAGGCCTGAGAGAAAAAAAGGCGGAGCAAGCACTCTTCATTGTCGTGTGCAACAGCTGCCGTAGGATCTGTGATGGTGCTTACTGCTTTGCGCAGCCGTGGGCTGCAAGCTTGTTCCCACGTGGCGATGCGAGCCGCGATTGCACCCCAGACACAACAACTCGCCCCCGCCGAAGGAGTAGCAGGTGAGTTAGATATCAACCCAACCCTCCGCCTGGCGTATTCCACACTGCTGTACTCCGTCCCCATGCTTCTGGCGTACCCACACATGTTGTAACTAGTGCCGGGTTGTCTTTTATTGTCAGGGGGTGTTCCAAGACCTGTGTACAAGACGCTTGGCACTCCTTTGCGGTCTCGACAACGCAGATTTCTGGATGTCTCGTCTCTCGCCGTCCATACTCCACGCACCACAGCTTTGGATCGTAAACGAGCGAAACCATCCACCTGCTTTGATACAGGGCATACATGGACCTCCATGGAACGAAGTGCGCGTCGTTTAGGCAGTGTGTGAAATGCGATAGCCGACGATTCAATAACAACTCCAGGTAGATTATCTTGCGTAGTTCCGTCCTCTTTCTACGCGAGGGTAATCTCGCCGCATCCGGTGTGACGTACATGTAGAGTGTCTATGGTCTACAGTATGCATCTCGAGGCATGTGCCGCAGGAGGAAAGGCGAAAATTTCCTGATTTCCTTCTGTGTGACCCCGGTTTGTGCGTCAAACGCAGACCGAAGGGCATATGTACACTAGCGACCAAAACAAATGGGACGGGGAAAAATGTAGGCATGGTTCCCTTGTCCAGTCAGGACATCTCATCTCGGTATGTACGCCTTACCCGCGGTAGTTGTTGCCGCACCGCACGAAAGAGGCTCTGCGTTATGCGAGTTGGTAACAATAGCGTGTGGATTAAATCAGGCAGACCAGCAACCAACCACATGAGGAAACCTTAAAAAGCACCGAAGAAAGTTGAATAGATGCGCAGACGTGCTAAGAGTGTCACCTCTTACGGCAACGTCAAGAAGGCGGTCATGGAAAGCTGGAGCCCCACAATGTAGCGGCATGGATCCTATTGTGGTGTATCGATGTAAACAAAGGGATCAGGCATACAAGACTCCACCACATATCGTTCGGCTGTGGGTATATCTCGAATGGGTAGTCTTTCTGTGTGTGTAATGTTTTTTCCCGAAAAAAGACAATTTTGTTAGCACGCCAGGAGTGGTAGTCGTGTTAGCCGGATAGGTCTTGATCCAAGGTTTACGTCTTGGAGGATTCCAAGATTTGTTGCAAACCCACTACTTGTGTTTTACGTGTCCACTTTGAAAATGAGCCTAGTCGTGGTCCCTACGTATAGGCCGCATACCGTATATGACACAAGGTAACACACCCCCTGGACCGATTTTTCAAAGCTCGATTACTCCACGACGGATGCATACACGAAATGATAAATTTTCGAGACGGTCTCGACGAGACGGTTTCAACGCCGCCGTTTTCATCGCTGTGACTGTTCCTGCGGTTGAGAAATCGAGCTTCGAAAATCGATCAAGGGTGTGTGTTATCTTGTGTCATATACGGTAAATAAGCGCCGTCGCCCCGTGCAAGGATGGTGAAATCACGTATCCAGGTTGTCTCGTGCGCTGAAAAACAGGCGCCACCGAAATAAATCCCTAACGACCCCTGAAGAAATGTGCTCGACAGAGAAAATCCCGCGTGGTGGATACTTCTTGTACATGACGGGGCCACGGGTAAAAGAGGCGCCTGATGCCGATCGTAGGGGCATCAGTCGCCTGGGATGGCGTGCGGGTGGCACGCCTGAGCAGCACCTACGCTCAATGCGGCTGTGCCAGCGTGGTATCGCAGTTGGCGTTTGGCAAGCCTGCTCGTAACCCGGAGGAAGGCGAGGTCCGGTCTCGACGGAGAAGCTCAGAATAGCTTCCTCGGGACGAAAGCTGACCACGATCATACCCCTTTTTTTCACCTGGGGCAACACAAATCGTGCTTGAGAGAACTTTTCACGCCTCCCCCGATGTATGCTAGGTGCGCGCCGCCTGCTTAGCAGCCCGGCCCCCACCGGCGCGCCATCTCCAACAGCGGCGGCGAAAGGGCAGAGCCAGCTGCACAGGGGCAAAAAGGCGGAAGGGGAAGAGAGGAGGTTGTGGCCCTACCTCAAGGCCGCCAGGCAGCAGTTCTTCAACGTAATCCTGGCCACCCTTTCCATCGTGATGGCGGTCAAGATGGTGGAGGGGAAGGTGCGGTGATCTGTTTCGTGCGACGCGCGTGCTGTTGTGATTGGCCGGTGTGTATGGAGAGGGCACTTGGGACGGAGAGGTGGGGCACCGCTGCCGTATGTGGTTTGTTTAGGTCCAAGACGTGACTGATTCTTAGCAGCCATGAATATGATGTCCGGTGCGCAAAGGCGGGCGATTTTTTTTTCGTGCTGTCGGTTCTCATCCCCGTGGTCGATATGGTGGTTGGTGTGCAACCTACGCTCAGGGCGGCTGCGGTAGGTAGCTTTCGGGGAATGAGAACATGAGCATGTACCTCGCCGAGTGCCGCTAGAGGCTAGATGGTGTGCACCGTTGCCTCGTTACCGGGAACGCTTCGTCATTTACCACGGAAGTAACGGTCGGTCGTGGTTACCTTCTTATTGTAATTTCTTACTAGTATTATGATTATGATTCCAGCAACTGAAATTCTTCTGCTGCGACCACGCACCCTTGAAGTTGCCTCGGGGGGCGTAGCTTACCCCCAACAAATGATGATGGATGCAAGAGGCCAAAGATACAGAGAGACAGATGTTGGGTGTGTCTTTTCGTTCTTCATTCCGTTCGGAGTTCTACTCCGTTCCTTCGAACAACAACGTACTTGGTCCAACTGGTGTATGCGCACATCTTTTGTGGTCACAGGCCAACTACCCAAAAAGGGTACGACATGCTACGAAAAGTACCATAGCTGATTGACGTAATCGCGAAAAAATATATATAAATGGAAGGAGGAGATGCGGGACACGCATGGCGAAGGCCAGGCGCGTTGAACAAAAATGTTCTTCTAAAACTCGTCGCTACTTCCTCGCTGTGTTGACGTACAGGGGGCGAGAGTGGCGTTGGAGGAGGAGATGGTCGAGCTGCAGCGGCAACAGGGCGTGCTCTTGAGATCTTTGTCGGACGAGGCGTGGGCAGAGGTGAGGGAGAAGTATATGGTAGTCATGGAGAACAGCACCGCAGACGGGCAAGTCCTGTTGCAGCGTTCGAAAAGAGCGTCACCTCAAAGGGAGCTGAGTGTTGCGGAAAGCGGCGTGTTGTTCGTTTGTATTCCCTGTGTTGGTGGATCCCATGCACTGACATCGCCGTTTGTTTTACGCTGTGGTTCTTTTTAGAAATATACATACAATCAAATAACGACTAGAATGTTACAATGATGAAATACTACAAGTACCCATTCGAGATAAGACCACAGTCGAAGGGGATGTTCTTGTTGCTGATATCGCCGTCGGGGCATTTCTTGGCCCCTGACGTCCCCATCACTAACCCTACACGCATAACTTTCTTTCGTTGAACGTTTGCAGTCTTTTTTCGTGTGTTGTGTGTGTAATGGTTGTGTTAGTTAGGCTTCTTGGTTGCTCGCTCACCACTGCTCTACTGCCGTTGGAAAAGTCACTTTCCTTTGTTATTGTTGTTGGTGCTTTTGCTTTGTTCCGGTTGGCATCGTCAAGGATGTGGCGAAGCGGATCGGCGCCGCCGGCGGCAAGGAGGCGGTGATGGTCGAAATCGAAAAAGGTTGGCCAATGCCCCCCCTAACTGTCAAATGGGCTGCATACACCGCTTTCGATTCGTACGCAGTTCCTTTCCCCTCCCTCCGTTCGGGTGTTTCACCTGTTATCGGCCGCCCGTAGCACGAGAGCAAAGAGATGGAACACGCCAGTCCCACGTCTACCGCCCTTGTCTGATTCAAGCTTCATCATTTGCCGAGCGGGGTGTCCTGCCTCCACGGAAGCGCCATATTCATGGAGTTCACTACCAACCGCTGCACCAGATCTAGGATACCGATCTCCGGTCGCTCGGAAAAATGTTTCGAAATTGCTTTATTATCCGATATAGCGGAGGAACATTTTCAACGCACCCATCCATTTTTATTCACTACTGCAACATTTTGTATTGCGTGAGATGGTCTGTTCCTTTTGTACGGGCTGGTTGTTATAAAAATACGGCATACATTCATTCACCGAAAGACTGCCCGTTCGAGACAATACCACACGACGTATTCGAACGGGTGTGTTGAAGATTCTTTGCCTTTTCGCGCGTATCGTTCATCGCGCCGTAACACCTCAACAGTTGTGGCGGCGAGTCTCCTTGACAAGGAGACTGCCGAGCTGGAGGCCATGCGCGCGGCCGCGCTAAAGACAAGCCTGGAGCAACAGAAGCACGGAGCCCCCTACCCGGGGGGGGTGGGGGCGTTCGACGACGAACAACCCCGCGAGGCTTCCGCCTCGCCAGTGGCACGAAAACCTGGTGAGCGATGAAACGCGCGTGTCTGTGCAACGCACAGCAGTGTGTACGAGTAGCGTTTGGGAGCTTTAACTTTTATCAGCGGCGCCAAAGCAAATCGTCCTCCCTACCGTCTTCGTCAGGTCCCTATTTAAGGCCGTTATGTCCCGAGGGATGTTGATGGCCATATGTCGGGCACCCGGCAGTATGAGACAACTTGAATGTTCCATCTGTGGCAAGCGATTTTACCGGCCTAAAACAGGGCAACCGGTCTTGAATACGCGGCCTTGGACAGGGAACTCTCTCTGTTGTTCTTGTCTTCACATTTAAAACCGTTCCGATCTCCCTACCCAGTACCTTCATCTGTCCGTACTACAGTAGTCTGACACTTGACGCGGTTGATTTCCGTGGTCACAGGCTAGCTTATCCTCAAAGGCATACTCAAATGTTATGGACCTCTACTGCTGTGTACTGGATCAATACTCCATCAGCAACGTCTTCGTCGTCCCCTCCCTGACGACATTACGTCTCGACTTTGCTTCTCCTCTTGCTGCTTGCCTGCCGCTTCCTTGCGTGCCGTTTTTTGGTTCCTTCTCGTCATATTTCCGCCGCTTTTCTCGACAACTACGTACCTACGGTCCATCCACCACCCGCCGCGTTGATCCAGCACCCTCGAAGGGGATGATGTAATGTTTGAGCTTTATCGGGCATACACATCTAAGAGTGATCCTGTTCGTTGCCATGCGACGAGTGAGTGTTGACGGTGGAGAAACGTTGCTTTCCTTTTTTTGGTGGTTGCAACACGTGTCAAGGTTACAACTCTTTTGTTTTCTCTGTATTCGGTGGCGCCATGGATGTAGACCACCATCGGCTTAAGGGCCGGGGGAGCGGAGGCAAGGGTTGGGGAAACACGCGAGCAGCTTCTCGGCGCAGAGCCACAGGGGGAAGTTGGAAGAGAGCCAGAAGGGATGTTTGACCTGCCACAGCATGACCTGTTCTTACATCCGTTGTTCGAGGCGCGCTATTGCGGTAGCCGCCACGTTCTCTTCTGGCACCCCCTAAACAGCCAAATAGCTGATAAAAACTGAAAGTATGAAGCAGTTTGGCGTTTTTTTCACTTGGTTTTTCTTCTTTCTCGGGTCGTCCCGCACGCGTGGCGCAGCCGCGCTTGGCTGTGGATTGGGGTTAGGGTTTAGCCCTAAACCATGCCGGAGACCGCACACGTTTCAAGGCCGATCGCGAAACGCGGCAATGGACCTCGCGGAGACCGCGCACATTTCAAGGCCGATCGCGAAACGCGGCAATGGACCTCGGTTTGCTCGTGGTGCAGTACCTGGTTGCCTCGTGGTATACTCTGTACCATCAAGTTTGAGGGTCTCTTGCCTACCACACATCAGGAGACTTCGCTGTGGGTTGTTTGCGTTCCGAGCAGCAGCCGGTTCAGATTGCCCTGTTCATCCAGCCTCAAGAGCTCACTATTGGGGGCCCCACGGAGGTTGGTATCCGCGTCGGAATGCACACCACCTTACCTTAAGTAGGTCGATCAAGAGCACACCCCCCATGCATGGAACCACGGTGCACTGACCTCACATCAGCCGGTCGTGGTTGGGAGGGTTGAGGGAGGGCATTGCATATGGTTCAGACACAAACAAACCGGGCTGCACGAAAAATGCAAGGTCGTAAGGTCGACTCCTCTCGGCAGCCAGTGCACAAAATGACTGCTGTTCAGTGAAAAGAAAAGTACAGAGAGAGGTACAAAATTATCCATATCCCAACAAACCATCAACGGTGTGGTGGTACGGAAGCGTGGACGGATCTAAAGCTTGGCAGAGACCGGTTTGATTAACGCGGGCCAACCATGCCCTTCCTCTGCCGCCAACATCAGTACAGACACCAAAACCCCCACGAACAAAATTGAACCGATTACAATTATATCTGCCCCACAACGTGCCTTTGCTCGCTCTAAAGCCCAATCGGGTAATGTCTGCGGCACCCCCAGAACCGAAATTTCTCCATCACGCCTCTACCCAATCACAGCGGCACGCGTGAACCTGCGCGTCTCCTCTCTTGTCCATGTCTCTATCACGCGTCTACCTCAACCGCAGAGCGGGCCCTGGGCAAAGTAGATCATCCATCGCACTTCGCCTCTCGACAGCCTCGTCCAACTATACACAAGTTTTCCGTCGCACGCCGCCGGCATCACTATCTTGCCAGTGAAATAAGCAAGATAGCCAAGCAGTCTAAGCTATTTATTGGCCGAAAGCCTAGGGATGTATTGAAAGCTGACCGACTTGTCTGAATATTCGACTCCGGCACCGTACACCTGGACATGTTGAAAGCCGAAAATAGTACACGGGGAAGAGGAGAACAGCAGACTCTACGGCCGCGATTGTCCAAACCAACACTAAGCTGCAAAAACTTCCGCTGGACAAGGAACTACTACAGCAGGTAAACGACAAAGAGGCTCATTCTCGTTTTGCCGTTCGAATCCTTACGTCCGGGTGATAACCGAGGGTCTGCTTGACCAACAATGCTAACAACCGCCGTTCATCAGAAAAAACAAGGACAGAAGCGGGTTCCAAATCTAGTACACTGGGTTACCTGCGCACGGGAGTCCGCGTAATAACCGCACCGTTATCCGTCCCTCTGGCCTTTGTCTCTTGTGCTCTCTCGAGTGGCAGCAGCCACGTGGCTGCGCGATGCTTCACAAACGTGAATTTTTCCCAACGCCGGCGAATGCCCTGCTTCCTCTAACCTCTAGAGCACACGGTCAGGCTTATTTCTTGCTAAACTCAGGTAAAGCTGCTACGGCCACATACTTCTACCGAAAGCAAGGGAAGCACATGGGCTATCTGCTACTGCTGTTTCGAACCCCGCTTTTGCTTCGGAGGAAGGGGCTTCGATACCACGCTGTTGCTGCTTTTATGGCGAATTTACTACTCCGAGCTCCTCGAGGTCAACCTTCTCCACGGGCTTCGCCGGCAACCACGTTATCTTTGATCGGTCGTCGATCCAGTCCAACACCTGCGTTCGTAAGAATCAATCGACACACACACAGCGTTTTGCAGCAAAGAATATTTCATCAGTCTTGTGATACCGCGTAAGAATCATCGACACACAAACACATGGCATATTTTTTGCCGCAAAGATAATTTCATCAGTTTTGTTCTTAGCCAAGATACATACAACACGGGAGACTATCCGTTTGAGATGCAACCATGGACGTCCAAAATGACGCCGCGTGTTTTTTCCTTATACTGGGGGTTGAGGGTTGGCCGCGCCCCAACGGCGACTCCTGACGCCATGGTCTACTAAAGCTCGTCCAGAAGGCGGACGGCGAAGACTTTTGTGTATCGCGCCATCACGAATGATGTAAGCCAATCTCTTTTCTCTGCTCAAGCCGACTAATTGTCACCCGCGCCGCTGTAGACTCGAGTATATTTCATTTCCTCACCATTTCTCGCTCTAGCTGTGCCTCGATCTTGTCCCGAGCCTTGGCCTCATCGAACTCCTGGCCCTTGGCCTGGGCTCTGAGAAGGTCCATCTGGTCGTCCACTTCGCTCTTCTCGTACTGCACAAGTGTACGTTGGTGTGGGTGTTTTATGAGCATCGAACGCGATAAACCGGCTGGCCAATGAACAGCCGCCAGTCTCAGCGCGGTTGATAAAAGAAAATGCTTCTACAGTACAAGGCCACGATCTGGGACCCTTAGACAACGGCGGTTTGGGAATCAGAAAAAGAAAAAAAAAATTGGGGGAGGGCTAAACTATATAAGGTTCCCGTGGCACAAAGTATAATTTAGCGCGATGCAGAACACGAACCAAACATGCGAGCGCTTGTGCGTCGTCTACCAACCACGGGAATATCGAGGGTGAGCAACACTCCCAGCTACGTTCGACCGCACACTCAAAAGAAAAAACAAAAACCATCGCCAGTGACCGGCATCGCAAGCTCTAACGTATATCGAACGGCTAACAGAAATCCAAGCTCCGCCCATACGCGGAGTCCAAACAAATCGTTATGGACTCCGCAAGAAAAAAAAAAGCTGGAATAAAAAAAAATAGTTCAACATGTCTCATAATGTAGGGGTGGCAAAAAGAGGCTAGGCTGCGCGGACGAATCACAACGAGCCCTACGCCACACCGGATGTAAACACAAAACCATGAATGGAAACGGGACGTACCGAACGGCCCCCTCCTTCTCGGCACGGAACAACACGCCAAACCGGAAGTAACCACAAAACCATGACTGGACATGTAACATACCGAAAGGCCCTCCTTCTCGGCGATGTGGGTGAACATGAGGCTCAGGGTCAAGCCTCGGGTGACGTTTTTCCTCACCACCTCCACGTACTTGGCGAAGTTCTGCAGTTAGGGACATAAAAAAAAAGAACCATGGTTCATGATGTAATGTGCGAAGTTCTGCAGTTAGGGACAAAAAAAAAAAAACGATGGTTCATGATGTAATATGCAAAGTTCTGCAGTTAGGGACAAAAAAAAAGAAGGAACGATGGTTCATGATGTAATATGCGGATAATGAATAGAGGGGAGGCGACAGCAGAATAACATGTACGTGGCCTCTGAGATGAGGGCTGAGCGTGAACAACACGCACATGTAAAAAATCGCGGGGTGGAGGCTCGTTTCCGATCTACGAAATCTGCGAAATTATCTACTATTCCCCATCTGCCGCCCACCCCCCCGCGAGAGGTGCTGACGTAAGCATGTCGTCGTGCAACGATTGCACAACAGCAGATGAATACTCCGCAAGACAACAGCGTTAAGATAAAGCAGCGAGCCCTACCCGGCAAGCCACTCGTGCTGCTGTAACGTCTCAAGCATCCTGCCGACGCTGTTGTTGTCGTCATACCAAACCCCCTTCCGGTCTCTGCTCAGTACCTTCCAACACCAACATCGATTTTGGATTCTTGATTTCGATTCGTCGGACCTCCACACCTCCCCAGCCAAAAATACAAGAGCAAATACGAAAAATATGAAAAAAATAACGAAATAAAGAGCAGGCAGAACCAACCTCCTTCGTGATCATGCTCTGGATCTTAGCGTCCGACTCCCCCTGGTCCTTAAACTCAGTCATCATGATGGCGAACTTCTCGCGGGCCTGCTCCACGATCAACGTCTCCGGGATGGTAATCGAGCACGTCTCTAGGAGAGCTTCTTCGTAGGCCCTGAAGAAAAACATTAAAACACAAAAATAAAAAATACAGACCACGAGACGAAACACCAGAGAAAGACAAAAACAGGGGGCGGGGGGCGTTGGAGTTAAGCAGGCGTGATGCAACAAGGGAGCGCCAAGGAGGGGGTGGGGGGAGCGTGAAGTAGCCGCGGTGGTCAACATGGGGTAAGACTGTGAAAGACGAACATGCTCGCACAGATAGATGGCAACAAACACCGTTGGACTGGAAGGTGAAAGGGCGGCGGGAGACGTGTATGATCGATCTTAGAAGATGATATCGACTTCTTGTCCACAACCAACAGAGGTACAACACTCGGGCAAGCTCTTCCTCTCTGTCTCTCTCGAAATACATGATGTGCGCGTCTACGCCGAGTACCCGGCGCGAATCCACTCACCCAATCTACGTGTAGAAACGAGGGCTTGGGAGCTCCCTAGTATCGGCATGTCCGCTGTAACAAATCAAAAGATCCTTTTAAAAATTGTCAAGTTTTCTGGTAAACCAGCGTCACAAATAACTACGCACTTGTTTCGCGTGTCCTTCTTGGATGTCCCGGTCTCCTCCATGACCGCCTTTTCCACCTCCCTCGTCAGTTCTTCCAGAGTCAGGCCCTCGCGGATGCTTTGCGCGAAGTCCTCGTTCACCTCTGGCACGTTACGTTTCTGCGAAAAAACAAGAAGAAAAAACAAGACGATCTAAGGTCAAGACGAGACCACCGAATCGGTGGGATTGCATTTCTGCTAAAACAAAAAGAGGCGGCGGTGATGGATTCGCGTTTCTGCAACAAGAACAAACGAACAGGGCAAAAAGGCAACGATTAACGATTGAGGCCAAGAACGACAGACGGCAGTGGTAGACGAACGGGAAAAGGCCGGTGTAACTAGATTTAGCTTGTTCGGTGTTGTGATGACTTTGCTGACCTGCTCTACGCAGCTGCTGTGCATCTGTAGTGTAGCGTAAGGGAATCACCAGCGAGGACGAAGGTCAAGGGTGAACATGGTCTTGCCTGTCTGTAGGTCTCACAACATAGAAAAACTCCTGCAGGAAACACCCTATAGAGAGAATGACGCAGCCGTGCAAGCTCCTCGCTCGCCAGAGACCAGCCATACAAAAGCCGGCTGAAGGAGATGAGAGACATGGAGGAGATATGTGAGAGGGAGGCTTTGACGACAGCTACGACATCATAATCTTTAAAGTGACGTCGACATCACCGTGACCTACAACAGTCGGATCCAACGAACCAGCGACATCAAAAACACACAAAACACCAGAGCACAAATTGCGCACGAGAGGTAACAAACGAAAGTTCATCCGGTGCCGGTTCACCAAAAACGTCCACCGCTTGCTTCTACCTCCAAGATACCACAGACGGCCACAAGTCAAGCTACACCAACGACCGTTAACGTTAACGTTAACGTTAACGTTCTTCATGGGGTGGTGTGGAGTTGGGTGCGGTCTTACCTTGATCTCGACGGCTTCCACCTCGAAGACGGCCTTAGTCCCCTCGAGGTCGCCCCCCTGGGGTCCCAGCTTGTCCGGGAACGTGATCCTGATCTCCCTGGTCTCCCCCGCCTTCACTCCTTCCATGCCCTCCGCCAGACCGGGCATGTACCTTTTTCAGACAGACATACGAGGCATGCAACTTGTTCAGATACATTTCGAGTTATTGTAACTTTTTTGCAGGCAGGCATGAGAGGAATGAAGCGTATTGAGACATACACACGACACGAGATGGATTGAACGCGAGGCACATCAACACCATCGAGGCACAGACACGGAAACGACGAAAAGCGGTAAACTTGAACGCGAAAACGTTCAACACTGCTGCTCAATAGCTCAGTTCTTCCCCATGCCCCATGCCCTACCTGCCAGACTCGAGGACGATGTCAACACCCTCCCCGGAAGCGATGTTGGGCAGCTGTTCCCCCTTCGACCCGTCCGCGTTCTCCCGGAAGGGCATCATGTTCGCGATCACCTAGAGTGTGTGCGGTGTGCATGCAAGGTCGTCATGTACGCCGCACGTGCGTTCGATACAAGCAAGCAAGGCTACACCCGTGAACACCGAACACAACACCGTGCACGATACGTGCAGGGCCTCGGTACAACAGGGCGGTGGCCCTGTTGCGATATCGATATGAGATGAGGTGACGATTTAAGAGGGTCGACGGCCGTTGCCACACTACACCACGCGGCACGCTTAACATTGGGACCACGACTATGCAGCTTAATACACCCCATACCCACAGTACCACGCCCGGTGTTTAATAACGGGCCAGAAAAAAAAAAAACACGCCCGGTGTTCAATGACGGGTCAGCATGAACACAGACTGGAAACGGAAATCTGGCGCTTGGTTCACACTGCGCGAAAGACGAATGATGCATCATGGATGTTGCTCTAAGATCAACAGATTGGGCGACAAACGATACTACGCGGCCCACACAACAAACACGCCCTTACCGAGTCGCCGAGCTGTGCGGCGTAGCCTTCTTCCGTGTCCTCCAACACCACGTTACGCTCTTGGAGACCCTTCCATGCAGCCGCCACGCTGGCAAATAATGACAGACACGGGAGTACAGGAGGTTAGTCAGAACCATTTCCCACAAGAGGGGGTGGGTGACAGATGGTCAGAGACGAAATTGAGCGACCTGGGGACATCGTCCCAAGGGGTAGGGTTGGATTGATATTGGCAAGAGGAAGTGACGAGAGCATCACACCAATTGTATTATTTGCATAGCACCACTTCACAAACAACGACGGTCATCACTAGTTTCAACCAGCAGACTCGATCCTACTCGGTCGTTTTGGGCAGAAGGAGGACGTCCTATCTACATGGTGCCCGCAGCTCATGCCCGAAGATACCATGACGACAGCAGCACAGTAAGTGGCAAAGGCAGTGATGTGATGGAGCTATGCACTAGTCACGTGTGCCACCAGGGCTCCATGTGAGCGAGAAGTTGTGCAGGTCCAAATCACATGCGCCTGACACACAAAAAAGCGATCAACATATTCCCAAGGGAAAACACCACATGCAGATGCTAAACGTCAAAAATCGATGCGTGCGTCCCCATGCTATCTGCACATACCAACACCTACGACATGTGAAAACAATAATCATGGTTCGGGAATCTCCGCGCGGTACTTCAAAACTCCAAACCTCGGGAATCCCGACAATCCAGCCTACAAACCCAGGAGCCTCGAGTTTGTATACGTGAAGTGGGGGAACAGAAGGGGTTAACGGTGGGGTCTTTGCTGGCGATTCTCTTTCAAGTTGTCACGCACAGACTTGCGGGCCCATTTAAGGTAGCTGCGGCAGTCACCGAAACTCAACGCCGACATCACCAGCGTCCGCTGCGGCGAGTGCCACCTCCTGCGCCGGAGCTACCTTAAAGAGGCCCGCAAGTCTGTGCTCGACAAAATTAAAGATAATCGCCAGGAAGTACCACTTTCAAGCCCTTTTGTTCCCCAACTAAGAAGGCCAACTGGAACATAGATCATACTGAAATGTACGAAGCGGCGACTGCGACAGACGCGGGGAACCAACAGGCAACGCTTAATCACTTCCGATGCCTGCTCGGCCGTCCGCGGCGGCCGCTAGCCTCTTCGACGAGGAGCCATGCGATCACGACGGCACCCCTTCGGAATATGAATTGCACGGGTGTGTTCTGCCGGTGATGTCTTTCCGGGTACATATCAACCCTACAGGACATTACAGACGAGTTCTGTGACACTTTCGCTACCCTACAGGAAACTTCTGTGAGTTCTGTGGCACTTCCGATGCCCTACAGAAAACGTCCATGAGTTTTGTACAACGACATACAGGGTCAAGCGAGGATGGCGACTCGTCTTTTATCGACCATCGCGACCAAGTCGGCATGTCCGTTTACGACCCTTTAATCAGGCTATAGGAGGTGGGTCGGAAGCAATGTACTTCGCATATTAAGAATGACACCGAATAGCGAAAGGAACGAAGAGAAGAGCGGCAGAATGTACCAACGCCCCCCGGGAATGAATGTCACCGGACTTTGCCAAGCAAGCTACCCACGCGGCTAGCGGGAGCTCTGTTTTTCGCCCAGCAAAATCCACCGAGGGTGGGTTCTGTACCTACCGTGGCTCGTCGATCGGCGGCTCCTCGACCTCCAGCTCGAACCCAGTGTATTCCTTTACGATGTTTACCTCCGGCCACACGTCCATCTGACAAAACAAAATCAAGTTGAGGGTTTGATACACTGCTCGGCGATAGCACGGCCATGAAAGCATCTTCGTTTCCCGCGTGTTTCCGCATTTCAGGTCATGGGCTTCCATGGTTGTCTACAGCTCACCTTCATATATGAGCGGATGGCAGATACCCTACAGATCACCTACCACCCACGCAATACCACTGTTTGGAAACATACGACCATTCGGATCACAACGGTCCCTAAATTTCCAAGCAGAGTGGCAAAGCTAGCTCACGCGGGACGCATACACCATGAAACAACAGAGCTACTGTGCTGTTTCGGCCTAGCTGAAGGGGATCTGATCTATTCGGTATATGGACACCCCAGGTCGCACGTCTCGCGAGCATTGCGACTGCGCCACATGCAACGACGCCTTCGTGAACGAGTGCTCGAGACAAGACTGCGCCACATGCAATGATGCCGTCATGAATGAGACATGACGATCACAAATAAGGGAGCTTCAGCGATGGTATGTCGGCACGATGAGGTAGCACTACGGCCACCGACAACAACAACCAACACTGGGGACGTAAACCGGATGTTGAGATAAGAGTTTTGTGCTTGTCCCCATCCTCCCTGAGCCCGTAGCCGCTACTGACTGTACTGTGAAGACCATCAAGACAGCAGCAACAGCTGTACGTCGAACTTCAAAGAAGGGACAAACATCATCAAGATATTGTATTTGGAAAGACGTCAATCTACGACCCCCCCCCCCGATGAGTAGACCGCAATACCTCTATCGAAGTCACACGACACCGCAAGCACTTACGCGGAACTCTTCAAAAAGATACGTACGGCTCCTGAACAACCAGCGTGTGCAGGATGTACACCAGCCCCCCCGCCCCCCTTTCCCGAGGCAGATAACACACCAAACACACAAACACGACCCACAAGAACGTCAAACACCACCAGCAGCTCTCACCTTGACCTCGAGCATCATCGGTGCCCCCGGGGTGAACAGCTGCGTGACTACCGAGATGTCCTGGACGAGCTCGGCGCTGCCGATAGCCTTCACGTCCAAGTTGTTGATCGCCTGGGTACCCCACGATAGGTATCACCACGCCAAGGATATAAGGGTAAGGGTAGGGTTTGGGTTTCTTGTTGCCGGCCGGAGCTCAGCCTGAGGTCATCAGATGCAACAGTTATGTTGATCGCCTGATTTCCAAAGCTTAACATCGCCTACACAGGCAACGTACATGGTAGAGTCGATTACGGCAAGCTCAGAACTCAGCCTAAGGTCATCAGATCCAATAATTGTATTGATCACCTCATTTCCAAAGATAACATCCCCGAAACGAGCAATCAACATGGTAGGCGTCGCCGAGCTCATAGCTCAGCCTGGGGTCATCAGATGCAAGTATTCAAATATCCAGGTTGTTCAAGGCCTGATTTCCCATGTTCAGCACAACCATACATTAGGCCAAACGCTGCAGATGAGCCCGCACCACACGTGCAAGAAAGCATTGGTGAACGGGTTGCACACAAGGTTGGCTACGACGTAGGACAGCAACAACGACGTCCGACAAACACCCCAACAAAAGACGCACGCACCTCGTTGACAACAACCTCGGAGATAACCTTGAGCGACTGGCCCTTGACCTCCTCCATACCGAAGTGTCTCTCGATCACCTGATCGGTGACACAAGAAAAAAAAAATCAAGGTGAACATATCGCAACAAAAAAAATGCAAGGGTTACGCAACGTGATGCGGGGGAGAGAGAGAGGGGGGGGGCGGGGGCGAAGAGGCCGAAGAGTGCGGTGGACAAACACCAGCAAAGGCACACGACGGCACGTTCTCGCCTACAGCCTACTGCCTACAAAAAACTCTCGCAAACCATCATCTACATGGTGTGTCTCAAAGCTTCGGCCCTAATGAAAACTTCGTTACAGCAGTCAATTGCTTCAAAGCAGCACACAAAACCACGCCCCCCACTGTAGCCGAAGGAACCAAAGTCGGGGAGTGCTGCAGGACAGGCACGGACTTCGTAAGCGCCGAAATCGCCAACTAGAAAACACGAAAGCTCCTGACAATCCCGTGATTCATTCAAAAACTGAACCCCCACTTTCAATTTTGACCACCTCCCTCTTTAACCGGTTGTGTTGGGACATGAGACACGATCAAGAGCTTGGAGGCGGTCAAAAGCCAACTCAACCACACACAACAGAAATATATGTAGGGGTCCCAACAATGTATCTAAAAGTCGGCTCGGACTGACGTGCAAATGTCGATAGCGCTCACCGCCCCCGGGAGGACTAAAGCGAGCGCCGTTATTCCCTCAAAGAAGGGAGAACAACAACGCCATTTTTTTCTTCTTCACAGCCGGCGACGCGCCCATAAAACAAAAGAAGGGAAAAAGCATGCAAATCTGCGCTGCAGAAATGGGCTACCTAGCGCACCCCGACGACATTCAGCAGCACAATAAAGCAAGGTCGGCTCAGACTGACGTGCAAATGTCGATGACGCTCACCGCCCCCACGAGGACTGAAGCGTGCGCCCCTATTCCCCCAAAGAAGGGAGAACAACAACGCGAATTTTTTCTTCTTCACCGCCGCGAAATAAGCAAATCATAAAGAAGGTTAAAAGTGAGAGCAGACCCTTGGGCATGACTGCTGACGAAATCACCACGTAGTGCGTAGTGCAACAAAGCAAAGTCGGCTCGGACTGACGTGCAAATGTCGATAACGCTCATCGCCCCCACGGGGACTAAAGCAGGCGCCAGTCTCCCCTCCCAAGGGACTCCCAAGGGAGGACAAACAACGCCAAACTTTTTTTCTTCAAGGCCGAGAAAGTAACAAACTACAGAGAGCTAAAAACGACAACACCAACACTTGGGCATGATTGCTGACGAAATCACCACGCAGGGTAACGGAGCAAAGTCGGCTCGGACTGACGTGCACATGTCGATAACGCTCATCGCCCCCACGAGGAAAAGCGGGCGCCAGTCTCCCCTCCCGAAGGAGGACAAACAGCTCCATTTTTTTTTCTTCTTCACAGTCGCTAACAGCACTCACCACCTAGGGATTAATGGTTCACGGTTTATACATACGTTCGCCGTTTTACCGCTGACGGCGGTGCTACGTACCTCTAACTTGAGGTCGGCACCTCTGCGACTGAACTGCAACCACCCGAAGATACCCCCCCCTCCCGCCCCCCCAAACAAGCAACTCGCCGAATACCTCAAGGCCCTTCGCGCTTGGTGATATGAGAGCCTGGTCCGGTGAGAACCCGGCGTGCTCCGTCCCGGCTTTGTAGGGATGCGAGGTCAATGGTCTAACGACTACGGCATGCACGACTACGAGTACAACCCCCCCGTTGTTCTTGCCCCATGAAATGCATCTAATCCAACGGCACGGCGCGCCGCCGGGGAGACGCAGTCGGTACTCATCTGCGGTGCCCCGGATCGACATCACCATCTACTGTAACACCGCAAGCTCAGACTACACGCAGCAGCAACGCCAGAGTAAAGTCGACATCTTGTGATTCAGACGGAGGGATGGAACCGTCGCAGGCGGAGGCGTCCTGTCTGACACACCTCGGGGCGTACTAATGTTTTGCATGCCTTATAGTTGTCCGACCCATGACCACGCGTCATCGAGATAACCTGGCACTGCTGTTCCCACAGGATCGATCGCCGATGGCCAAACGTCCCCTACTGTGATAACTTGCGAGAGGTCGCTCAAATTATGACGCACCTCGGGGGGGTGTTTGATGTTGCCCTTGTTACCCTTGTTGCCGAAACCGGGGATGGAGTTGCCGGCCTCCTTGGACAGGGCTCGGATAGCCTTGTCGTAGCAGAGCTGATCAGCGACGAAGAAAAGACCGCGGGAGGTGGGTGGGTGGGTGGGTGGAATTCTACATCATGAACGACAGTAGTAGTGACCTTCGAACCACGGGGGTTTCGGGGAACACAATTGAACAACAGAATCACGCGGCGTTCGGGGGCTGCCTAGGAGAACACCAAACAATGGAGCAATTCAGTAACGAATGACAGAATGGTAGCATACAGCCAACACAACGGCGTAATAGTCAAAACCAAGAAGAAAAGCAAGACAACAACCACGCACAAAAATTTAGACGCATGACGACAAAGTGACTATGCTCAACGTCGGTGGCGACGCTCTCGTGTATATGTCCTCTCGGAGAAAAGCATCGTGGTGGTGGCTCTACCCATATTTGGGAGACATCACACCGTACATGATAACCAGAGATTGTTGCTGTCATCGTGCACGGCTCAGCAAACCTCAACCTTCGGACCATACGACTGCAAGAACTTTTCACACCTCCACGACCAGCAGACACAAAACGTTTTTTTCTATTTATGTAGCGTGCACTACCAGCAGAGGTATGCCCTCGTACGTTCCTATTTGCGGTGAACCCTCATATTCAAGTACAAATGCTTGCATCCACACCGTGTGTTCGGAACAGATCTTGGTTTTGTATAGGTAATCACAGGGTCACCACACGCAAACCAACAAGCTACTCTCCGACCAAAGGGTGACGAGCGCTCCTGCTTTGGCACGCTACAGCGCCAGAGGAGCTGGGTCTTTCCCCTTCCCACGCCACTGTTGTCTACGATGATCCACACTGTCCCAACCCTACAGCCGGTTTCCTCCCGTCTGCACTTGCGCTTGCGATACAGGCGAACCTGCTACAACTACAAGACACGTTGCACCGCAACCTTCGTCAACCCCTTGCGAAAAATCCGCGGTACGTCGTTCAGTGTCTGTGACCCTCATTCTTGAAGTACAAATGCTTGTATCCACACCGTTGTGTTCGGAACAGATCTTGGTTTTGTAGAGGTAATCACGGGGCCACCCAATCACATAACGCGAGAGACAGACCAAGTCATCGCCAACTTTTACATCCACCTGGCCCGCAGGAAAGACGCGACAAAAAGAGGAATGGCAAATCACACACAACATACCGTAGGGTGGCAGTGTCTACTCGCTGGTGTTTGGATTTTGATGAGACGTACGCACCGAAAAGAGATACAGACGTGCATATGCATACCAAAAGGAGGTACAGACGAAACAACTCCACACTTCCCACACATGGCCCCGCTAATGCATCCGGGCCGTGACCGAACCAAACAAGTAGGGGCATAACCTGTGTCGTCTCTCCCGGCATATCGAGGCTAAGGATGATGGAGCTATTGGCCGCCGGCTTGTGCGTCACTTCGTAGGAGAGGGGCTTCGCGAACAGCGGACCGACTCGCTGCTTCTGCGGTAACGGATTTGGCAGGACCGAGAGATAGATGTCGAAGGAAGAGCATGTGGAGTTTAATAAATCCCCGGAGGCGGAGCGGGGCGGGGGGGGGGGTGCCAGTGGCACAAGAGCCGAAGACTTGAGTGATGTAGAAAAGCATGTAACGCTCATTTCGGCAGAAGGCTTTCGCAAGGAGGCAATTGCCCACAGAGAGACGCATGACGACCATAACCAAGAGTCCAAGATCGTATCTACAAATCAGAGGCCGGCGACGATCACTGAGAGGGAGGGTCGCCCACAAGCGACACGCACTCAACACTGGAATAGGTACCCAAAAGCATGCTCACACGAGGCAAAAACATCAGCCATAAGGATTTCATACAAAGACAGTACCGCAATTGCTATTGAAAGCTTGCCGGCTCCATGCACACATGCGAAGGAGATACGTACATCAACACAGGCCGCCGAATGTGGGGTTACGAGACACACCGCCCGTTGTCGATACAGCAACAAGTGCAAAAGAAGGCCAAAAAAGCCCGCTTGTTCCCGACAATCGCCGTGATGATTCGGTCGCACCTGGGTGTTCGAAGTGGCGGCTGCTGGCACCGATGCCGGTGCTCGGATCACGGAGGAGCCGGGGTTGGGCCGCACAACGAACGCGACCAGGGCCGCTGGCGCGCAGAGGGCCATCATTGTTCGCACCGGTGGAACCATTATTCTAGTTGTCGTTTCCCGCCTCTGGACTGTAGGCAGAAGGCAGTCATCAAATAGCCGGTCGTGACAGCGGCGGCAAGATAATCGTTGGGTGGGGGTGTTGAGCTGGCGGGTAGGCAGGATTTGGTGGTGTTGACCACATCAGATACACGTGGTCGGCAACGCGGGCATTGGCATGCACATGATGCTCTCATGTCGTTATGTGTTGTTGCTGTTCCCCGCCAACACTGCATGTTGTGGGATGAGAGATTCGTCGAGGCGAGCAAAAGGCGGCCGCAGCCAGCGGCACCATGCCCACTGGCCGTCAATCAACGGCAACCCGGAAGGCCACAGATAAACAACGTGCAACTTCTGGCAGCAGCTGCTGCAGCAACTCTCCTACAAACACTGCTGTTGTTGCTTCAACCACCGCCGCACAGCGGAGCATGCATGTGCTGAGAAACCATCCTACCACAGCAGTAGCGGTCATCCGTTGACTTCCATCCCTACTTTACAAATCATTAACCACTGATAGAACGAACTCTACCCTGACTTTTACCCGTGGATCGGGGATCCGCCCGTCTAGAGCTCTCACCTCTCACTCTTTCACAAGTGAAGCCAGCACTACCACGCGGGGAGGCATGACGGGCACGTGGCGCGTAAGGGGCATCGCGGAATCCGGGGGCTCCGTGCGTCACGCAGTCAAATCGAGGTTCCGCCGCCTTTCCCACCTCCGCCCACGGCCCTCGCTAGGATGCAACACAGGCAGGTGAGCGTGCTCGAGGACAGCAGCGCTCGGCGACAACACGATCCCACATGAAGCGGAGGCAACCGAACAGGCCAACCGCCGTGATTCTCGGGGCGATGTCTTTCCTGGGGCGCTGCCGCGCCCTGTCCGTCGCCACCGGCCCTACGACCTCGGCCGCTGCGGCTGCGGTTGTACGGCCCGTGTTGACCTCCTCAACAGGTCGACCATGTGGTATGCTAGGCTTCTGCCCCGCAGCCCAGCACTACCGAAACTCCCGGTGGGGGTCGACGTCATCCCCCCCAGTATCTTTGCTCCACTCTTCTGCTTCCTCCTGCTCGTTCGCGAGGACGAGCGAGGCGTTGCGAGTGGCGGCCGTGGCGGCATCGCCGAGTCGCCGCCGGAGGCGCACGGCTCTGGGCATGGTGTCGGACCGGCCCTTCCGGGGGCCTGAGGCTGAGGCAATCGAGGAGGTGGACTTCACGGGCCTGGGGCTCCTGGATGACCTGGTCGATGCCATGGAGGAGTTTGGTGAGGAGGTGTGGGTCATATTTTCTTCTAGTTGCAGTTTGACTTGTTGGAAAATGCGTGTACAACTGGCTGTAAGTGAGAACGGAATATAGCAGCGAGGAGGGCGAGCGAGGGGGGGTGCACGAAGCTGTTGGGAACCGTGAAGCTTGTCGATAGTTGCTGGTGGTCGCTCCCAATGGTGACCCCGCGGGTTGCTTTCGTCATTGTCTTCAGTTTGCCGCTGAAAGAGAGTATGTCCCCAACTGATAAAACGGGCTTTTGCTTTCGTCTAAACCTGGCTCCTGCCCAGCAACAGCCAAGTCTAACTTCGGACATGTACTGTAGATACCGCAGAGCGCTAGGCGCGGGTTCTAGGGAAGTCACCAGCAATCACGCTTCGGCCCTTCTCGTACATAGAAGGATGTCTCGCAATGGATGCCCCCCGAGGGTGCACTATTCCCGTTTTGGTGGAAAGCCATGGGTATTGCTGCTTTCCAGCTGATTTTGGTGGAACCCCGTGGTAGCGCTTTCCAGCGCCAACGATTGTCATGCTCATGAGGTCGGCTACGGCTGTGTGCTTCACGGAATCATTTGGTGGTTGATACAGGTGACGATGGATGTCTCCTATGTTTTGGTCGGGCGCACGCTCAAGAAGGCGCCCCGGCGATGGCCACCTTCGGCGTCATGGAAGAAACGCCAGGCGCAACAAGGCCTAAGCTTTCGCCACCCGCTGCGGCACACCCTTTGCGCTTTTCGTAATCTCCGCTGCATTTATCTGTCCATTCGCACCCGACCCTCCAACCTCGTATTTTGCCCTTCCCTCATCATGGACCTTCGTGGACATATGCTTGCTTGTGGCGAAAATCAACAGGGTTCAACAGCCCTAGCAAGATCCAAAGGAAAGCCATCCCGCAGATCTTGAACGGCGGCAACGTCGTCTTCGCAGCTTCCACTGGCTCGGGCAAGACCTTGGCCTACCTGATGCCCCTCATCCAGCAGCTGAAGGTGGAGGAGGTGCGTCAATGGCAGGATAGGAGGAAGTAGGGTGCGCTGTAGGCCTCACGGAGAGAGCCTCCAAAGGCTCGGCATACGCGTGCTGGGTCTCAGGACAGAAAGTGGCACGTTTGCATCAGTCCAACTAGGTTTGATGCGGATGACAAGATATAATACTATGCATTCCAAGCATGCCTCTCTTACATACCACCTGTATCGGTGGAATGAACGCAACGCTGGGGGTTGGTGTTTATGTTCTAAAGACTCTCATGTTTGATTCCAATGGTTATTCTCTGTGCAACAGAAGCGGAGGGCTGGTAGGGCAGCCCCCTCCATGTGGAACACATACACAGATCATTATGTCCTTTGTTACGATACCCATGCGCACGGGTTTGCCCTACCACGCGAAGGAGGACAACCCCATCAGCAATCGCACCACATTCCTCATGCCTACACGAGAGCCCTGTCCAGCCCCCCCCCCACACAAACACACAATGCATTATAGGATTAAGTGTTTTTCTTGTACTTTAGCATCAGGGCACTGTCGTCCCACTCCTGCGCCCCCCTTGCCGGTAGTACCGTTCGATCGTGATATTGAACGGGGGGTATCGGCTACAAGGCTGGCTTATTTTCATTGGTCAGCAGGTTGTCACTTATTTGAACGTGTTGGGTGTCTCTTTATTCGGCTACGAAACTGGCGTATTTTCATTGTTGGCGCGGTCGATGGCAATAACTACTCTAACACACGTACCCCACGGACTCCAACAAACAGGCTCAAGCGGAGGAGGGCGGCGAGTCGATCCGCCAGACCAAGCGGCCGAGAGCCATCGTGCTTGTCCCCACGAGGGAGCTGGCCGTGCAGGTGCTGGAGGTGGCGAAGCGGCTGTCCCGCTCTTGCAAGTTCTCGTCGTGCGGGGTGGTTGGGGGGGAGGACTACGGCAAGCAGAGGCAGAGGCTCGCCGGTACCGTTGACATCGTCGTCGGCACTCCAGGTGCGTGTACCCAAAATTTCTCTGTAACGCTTCTTTTTTTTTATGTTCCCTGTGGAGGCACTGCTGTTATGCTTCCTTTCTTCTGTTGTTTATCTCCCCTCTGGAGGCACTTCTCGAGGTCTTCATGAAGGGCACAGCTGGCTCCCCAAAGTCAGTCGAGGACTATTTCCCTTCCTGCGTATTGTTCGTAGAGCTTGCTATTTTTTTCGTCTCTGACAGCAGTAGTGCTATAATAGTGGTCTCTTTGCCCTGTATATTCCTGCGGCCGGCCCCGCAATACTCAATCATTCAGGATCCGGCGGGAGTAGAAGGATAGGTTCCTGGCTGTGAGTCCCCCTCCCCGAGCTGTTCTGTTCTCCGCTGTGCTTTGCCTGCCTTCCATTTTGCAGTCTCGCCGCATGTACGATGTGATGGTAAGCATGGGGTGAGGTGTTGGACGGGGGGTAGGAAGGAAAATATAGAGGGGGGTAGGGGTACGGACATCGTAGATTGCCGCAACGCGGCCTGTCGGATGTGCAGCATTGTTTTTTCTACGCGCCGAAGTGTCCTCCGTGTTACATTTCGTGAGCGACCGAGAATAGGTTATCGTCGAAGAACCTTAACCTTCATGCAATATCTACAATTTAGTCGAAGTTTGTGAGCTTGGCCTCCTACCGGATTGCTCATACCCCCCCTCACACGCCGCCCCTCTTCCCGCCGTCGGTCCCGCTGCGAACCTTGCGTTGGGCTTTGGCCTCCTACCCCTTTCTCACAATTTCGGGCGGGGCAATCTTTGGAACATGGCTCTCGCGGTGCATTGTATATATCGGCGGTGCGATATGATGGCGGTGATGCATGCGTGATGCAGGTCGTCTGCTGAAGCACCACGAGGCTGGAAACTTTTTCATGAGCAAGGTAAGTTAAGTCATCTCTTGTTGTTACCAATGACGGTCGTTTCTATTGGCATCGGTGTGTGTGGTGGCTGGTGTTTGTACATGCTGTTGAACGTCGTCATGGTCGTTGGTTTGTGGTTTTTCACCTGCGTTGGAAATGAAGCGCGTGGTTGCAAGCCGGCAAGAGAAGTAGCAGGTGGAAAGAACTTGGCGGCAGCACCAGCGACTACAATCTCACGCGCAAGACACAGACAAACAGAACACCCCAGACACACATCAGCACCACCGGAAGTGGGGATACTATAATGTTTCCATGAAAAAACAACCTAAAAGGGTGTACAGGCAAGAGTGGGCGGCGTATGGGATTGCTTGCTGCGCTTGCTTTGAACTCGAACCTCGTCGCTGTTGGTGGACGAAGAAGTTTTGGCCGCTGTCGAGCGCGTGCTCGGCGCCCTTCGATGCAACCAACGAGCGGCTTCCGCACGGACAGCTTTTCGGTCTGTTTGCGCTTGGTGTCGATCCAATGTGCGGGCGAGTGGTGGTTGGTATCGGGCGTCTGCCGCGAACGCGCGTTGTGCTGGGTGTCGTTTCCCATCCAACACAACGCAGCTGCAGACGTACCGCTGCAGACTTGAACAGCTGCCGAGTTGCACACCTGCATCGGTGCTTCGTTTTCGGGTAGCCAACTACAGCAGTAGGTGTAGCAATCTAACCTTCCCGGTCCGGCCGACAGCAATGTTTCTCGATGACGAGGCCCCTCACACAACTTGCCGTACGTAGGCGAACTACGTAATCGTGGACGAGGTGGACACGATGCTCACGCAGGGCTTCGCAGCGGACATCGAGAAGCTCAGCCGCCCCTTGCTCGCGAACCCCAACCGCCGAGACACGGCACAATTCATTTTCGTGACGGCGACGCTGACTAAGGCCGTCCGGAAGCTCCTTGGGGAAGATGGGGACTACCCCAAGGTTGGTCTTGTGCTGCCTCGTTCGTCACTGCTGCTCCTATTCTATTCTGCGTATCGACGTATCTCGACGAGGCGATCACAAACATCGTTGTTTGGCGCTTCAAATATTTTTCTTCCAGAAGTTATCGCACAATACGTGAAAGGATAAATTGTTGTCCATGGAACGTAATTATTTATTTTTTTTGTCGTTTCTCGCGAAAAGGTACATAGATATGTCTGTTGTAACCGCCGGCGCCACCGCTGCTCGCGTGTTGCGTCTCTAATATTATGCTGTTGTGACGGGCGGTATTTCCCTTGTGTTCTTCCTCTGTGTTTTGTTTTTTGTTTTTCATGCAAAAAGGTTCGGCAAGTAGAAACTAGCGACGTGCACCACACCCTCCCCAGCTTGAGACACGTGATGATCGACATCAAGGGCAGGGACAAGATGTCGGCTCTCATCGACATCGCCCAGCAGCACTACAAGTGAGTCACCCCCATCAGTCACGTCATGTGATATGTCATGAGCTCGGTGTGCGGGGATGATATTTTGTCTAGAGTCGAAGATGTGATGATT